GCGTCTAAATGGTCATCTGAAAAAACAAAATTCTCTCTCTCTCCATATATATATATATATATATATTATATATATATATATATATATATATATATTCATTTCATTAAGGCTGAAATTCTAGATCTTTTGCTTGTGACTGAATTGGGTGCACTATGGTTCTTAGAGTGTGTATATAAAATACACTGTTTTCTTCCATCTGCACCTATAAGTAAGGCTGTGGCTAATAAATGCAGGATTAAAACAGCCCTGAGTCCAGATGATGGCAGAATCCAGTTCTCTTTTGTAAGAAAAAAAATATTTCCAAGATTGCTTTTTATTCTACTGTGAAAAACAATTAGATCAGCTCTCTAAATACTGCAACATGGATATTGTTACTCTTATATTTTAACTGTGGGAATACTATGTACACAAGTTTATACTTCATTATCATATATATAGTAGCCCAGTGTCTGAGAGTCTGTAACGCCGAAATGCTGGCTGTTCCCTCTGGGCGGCGCTGTTGCCTAAAATGCTGGCTGTTCCCTCTGGGCGGCGCTGTTGCCTAAAATGCTGGCTGTTCCCTCTGGGCGGCGCTGTTGCCTAAAATGCTGGCTGTTCCCTCTGGGCGGCGCTGTTGCCTAAAATGCTGGCTGTTCCCTCTGGGCGGCGCTGTTGCCTAAAATGCTGGCTGTTCCCTCTGGGCGGCGCTGTTGCCTAAAATGCTGGCTGTTCCCTCTGGGCGGCGCTGTTGCCTAAAATGCTGGCTGTTCCCTCTGGGCGGCGCTGTTGCCTAAAATGCTGGCTGTTCCCTCTGGGCGGCGCTGTTGCCTAAAATGCTGGCTGTTCCCTCTGGGCGGCGCTGTTGCCTAAAATGCTGGCTGTTCCCTCTGGGCGGCGCTGTTGCCTAAAATGCTGGCTGTTCCCTCTGGGCGGCGCTGTTGCCTAAAATGCTGGCTGTTCCCTCTGGGCGGCGCTGTTGCCTGAAATGCTGGCTGTTCCCTTTGGGCGGTGCTGTTGCTGAAAAGCTGGCTGTTCCCTCTGGGTGGCCCGTGTTGCATGGGGAGTGCGGGTCCCAAACAGCTGCTTGCCGCTTGCTCCCCTGCGGTGGTCCAGCTGAGCGGCGCAGAAGGCAGCTGAGTGCCATGGCGGAAGGGGAAAGGAGGCGGGGCGGTGATGTCCATGCCCAGGGGGTGGGGTCTGATTGGAACGTCACCCTGTTTATCCCCCTTTAATTGGTTAGCCTGCAGCCTCTCAGTTGTCCTCCCCCTTCCCCTCGTTCCTTCGCCCTCCCCCTGGCCAGGGTCTGTTCACAGCCAGGGGGCAGGGCCTGGAGCCGCTGTCACGCTGCACGTCACCACCCTGCCCCCCTTCGCCTCCTGCAGTGGGGCTTGTCTGACTTCTGCGCCGCTCAGCCAGGCCGCCACGTGGGAGCAAGTGGTACAAGCGACCATTTGGGCTCCAGGCTCCCCATTCAGCACAGGGAGTGTGGTGCCCAAATGGCTGTTTGGGCTCCGTGGTCCCCCGAGTGAGAGGCAGGAGGGGGGAGGAGAAGAGAAAGAGAGAGACAGAGAGAGAGGCAGGAGGCAGAGGAGAGCTGAGAGAGAGAGGAGGGGGAGAGAGACCAGAGGCTCAGGAGAGAAAACCAATGTGGAGGAGAGACCTGAAAATCCCGTTTTATGACGGGCTAATTGGCTAGTACTTCAATAATAACAGATTACAAAGAAAAAAACATGACAGGTAAAAATTTCACCTTTCCTAAACACATGTTTAAAAAAGCCAGATTATGAAAAGTCTATTAGCCATCCAAAATAGGGATACAAGCTAGAAAAGGATCCCAATATCTCAGATGGGCAATCCATTAGATTTGGAGTGCTGGGGTGACCTCAGATTTTGGGCACACTTCTGAATACACTGTGACAAATCCCACTCATTTTATTTATCCTAGTTCTCACCATGACTTCTGGTTTCAGAACAACAGGTACATATACATGTTTGCAGAGACACAATGCAAGAATGAAGCAAATAATGATTCACTTTGCATTTTGACTGTGCTCTGCCACTTCTTGTTTTTGAGTAAACAGACTAGCATGACTATCCCTCTGATACAAAGTGCCTAACAAACTGATTCAGAAAAAGATTGTTTTATCCATCACTGAAATGCTTTGCTGAAAATGCAGCTACTTCTGGGATGAAATAACTACTTAACAATGCAACACAATGTCATATAACATGGAACTGATTCTTCAGCCCTTAGTCATCCCATTAAATCAATTAATGCGAAAAAGGTTATGGGAGTGAGTAAGGTTTACTAACATGTGAAAGGGCTGCAGGATTTGATTTTGTTCTATAGCCCTATCCAAAACCCATGGACACCAATCATCCTGAAAGAATCAGGCCCTAAGAAAAACTCAATCTTAAAATTAAAAATGGAAGGTGAATGGTAGGTCTGCAGAGTACTGGGATAGGGTAATGCACATGTGTTAGTTCATACACATGAATCCATTAGGTGTAATTTTTGACCCATCAGCTTTCCTACTTTCTCCTTAAATTCAATTTTATTTCTGTATTCCAGTATAAAGAAATATATTAGTTTGATGTATCATAAATTCAGGCATTTGCTCCTACAGTATTTTAAACAAATCTACATTTGTGTTTTGTTTAAGTTTCAAATAGAACCCCTTCCCCCTGAAAATAGAGAATACAATTTAAACTTATCTATGGTAGCGCATTGTTATTGGACTATCCATAGGTCTTCATAGCCACAAATCACTTGGGCATTTACAATACTTTGTGTGGTACATTAGCAACATTATTTTGTTAATAGGAGAAATAAGTGGTTTTCATTTAAAACTTATCATCCTTCTCCTAAACCCAGTACTCAGGGTAGCATAAAAGATCTGTGATACAATTTGTATCTCTGAAATGTATTACTCCATTTCATCAGGACTTATTTTGTCACTTTTTCTATCATAATAGATATGCTACAGTTCAAATAATGCATTAAAGACAATTTTTCTATGATTGGCAATAAGCAATATTACCTACTATCTGATGCTGTGGGAATAACACTTGATTGTATATACTTCCTATTTGCAGTTTTGTTGTGGCCATGGTAGCTCCAGGATATGAGAGAGAGACAAGGTGGATTAGATAATATATTTTATTAAACCAACTTCTACTGGGGAGATAAAACTTTTGAGCTCTTCTTCAGGTCTGATCTCAAGTTGTCCCAGTAAAAACCGTTAGCTCGTCCACCTTGTCTCTCTCTCTGGACTTTGCTATAGAATTTAGTGATCCAAGTCTTCTACATGGATTCTATTGATCTTTTTCATGAAAGAGAAGATAAAAAGGAATACTACACCTGTAAGGTCGTGTTGGGGATTAGTTTTTCTCCCCACACACACAATTTTGAAACCCATGGTCAAATGTAACTGTCAGTTACATATATGAAACCCCACTGACTGCAATAGGAATGTGGCACGTGCAATTAGAGACAGATGGTTGCTGTATAATTGTTATTATATACATAGGACTGTGAAAAGATTCCAAGATACAGGTACTTGCAGAAAATGTGGTACTAATACTAGGAAATGTTTAATTAAGAAAGCCCAGATTTTGCCTTTTCACACTTTAAGTGACCTGTCTGTGTCACCTACAAGAGCATAGCTGTGCATTGTCCTATTTTGTGTGCCACTTCTTATGCCATTGGCTTAATTATTTTATTTCCCTTGCATGACCCTAATATTCAGATTTCCATTTTGGTTTTTTTGTACAACTACCATGTTAAAGATTACTAATGCCTCTGTCACTCATTTGAATAATGAAAAGACTTTACTTCCCTTGGTAAAGCTGAATTGCTATCCCTTCAGTTTTGAAAAACCACTTCATTTTCCCCTTTTAAACTTAATTTTTTTAAACCACCTACTTCCCTCCCTAAGCCCCACTGTATTTCGTCTTCTTCCTATCCCCTCAGCAAAATTAAGGCTAGCATTAGTGTTAGCACTGAATGTGGCTTATTTTGTAAATAGCCTCCCTTTACAGATAAATAAAACTGCAAGTGCCTAGCTGTTCCGATATGGCACTGGAGACGGTTCTTCTCTAGACAAAGACACTGAAGAGAGGGAACTCAGCCTGGTTGGGTTGCAGCAAGTCAATCAGGAAACACACAGTCCCTGAGAAGCCTTCATACAGACTATATATGTTTTCTAATGCCCGGGAACCAGCTTTAAATTCTTCTGTAAATAAGAACTCCGCAAACCTAAGAAACAGTAAAAACAACATATGAAGTCTTTATTATCTCTCTCTTTATGCAACTAGCTTTGGCGCCAACCTTGTGTATCAGTTCATTTGTCAATAGAAGATTTCACATCAGCACATTCACTAGGAAGAATCTTAATAGTTTCACATTTACTAGTTACCTGACACTTGCAAATTTGTTTTTATCTTTTCCTCTCCATTGGATCAAAAAGAACTGAAAAAATGCCCATCTGAAATCTACAAGCTTTTTCATGCCTCTGTATAACATTTATTAGTGTATAAATGCAAGGATTTTGTTTTGAAAACATGTTCTTATATTGGTCTGTGTTTCATAAGGACCCAGTGGGGCACAGAACAGCAATGTTTTCTAGATGGATGCGAGAAGACCTGTTTTGCAGAAATGCTTGAGCAGGAGAAACACTCTTAAAATACTATATAAGGAGCAGCACCAAAAATAAGACATTGTGACTATTAACCCATTCCCTCTTGCTAAGGAAAATAAAAACAAACACATCATTTAAAAGAGCTACGATGTGTCAGAAAAAAATGAACTAAAAAGCACTGCTCCCTGCTATAGTTCTATTTAGGCCCCATCCTCATCCCATTTAAACCAGCATGAACAGTAGTTGATCAAATTACACAGGTATAAAACTGGCGTAAATGAAAGTTGAATGAGGCCTGCCACCTTCAAGTACTCCCTCTTCCCTCCCACTCTGCTGCCTCTACATAATAGAGGCAGCAAGTTTGTGGGGTGGGGTAGGGGTGGGGGAGAAGGCGGCAATCGATTAGTCAACTAACTATCTGATAAGCATTTGCTTACTGGATAGTTGACTACTCTTTAACATCCCTAGAGCCAGCCCTCTAACCCTCACTCTTATGGCAACCATAAGGAGAGGTATAGAAAGTCAATGAAGAACAACCATGGACACTTTTGAGTTTAATCCCAGAAAAGGTTTTGCAGAATTCCACTAGAAATATCTCATCAATTAATGTAATCAGTTGCTTATGATCCATTTGGATACAGACCGTAGAGAGAGACCAACATAGGCTGAGGAAGAAATAGGTATTCAGAATGTAAAATCTGTTTGCATATTCTTCTCTAGAGACAAAATGCCCCTATTTAAAAATATTTTGCATTCGGCTGGTTCTGACCACATTTAGATCTGTTTTGGATGTTTAAAGATTTAAATACTTGACAGGACTGTGGCCATAGACTATGCAAGTCTAACACTTCTGCGAGTGCTCTTTTTATTTTACAAAATCTCTATAATAATAAACCCCAAAGCCAAAGTGAGGTGTTGCCAAAGCCCCAAAGCCAAAGTGAGGTGAGTGAATTATGAGAATACTAACCTTTGTGCTCTGTAGATGTATTTAGAATTTCCAGTAAGCCTATACAGGAGTAGGAACACATAGGCACTACCAGCCACTCCATGACAAATTCCAGGTCCCTTCTTCAGCAGGCCTTTCTGCCATGTCAGTTCCCCACAGCGGATGCAAGTGTCTAGATACTGAGGCTTCTTGGAAATCAGATAAGCTTTAGCGAACAGGTATGCAATACCTAGGGATACAGCAGATAAATCAGTTTTGTTTTTGGAAGTACAGTTAAGTTAGTAAAATATTATCTGATCAATACATAAGAGAATTTACATATTCTTCATCTATGATATATATTCAACAGCGTGTACATGCCACATATATGAAGGTGTTTGCCATCTGATAGCCTTGTGGTAAGTTGCATTTATCACACACTTTTAAAAGCCTCACGTGCACCACTAGTTCATTCCAGAACTAGCTTTCCATTCCCTCTGAACAACTTAAAACAACAACCACGTTTTTGTTTAAATACTCCTAAAAAGTAGAGTTCTTCCACCAAATCACATTATTTCCCATCATTGATCTTGGGTCAGTTAGTCTTGCAACAGTGATACGTATAAGACCCAGTAGCTCTCATTTCTAAGAGCTAGAAATAGGAAGTAACTTGCTTTCCAGGGGGACACACTAGTTTATTCTAGTCCTGGCAGATCTTGAGATGCTGGATGTCAGTCATGTCCTTTTTATGTATGAAAAAGCCATTTTAAATCATTTTTTGAGGTGAAGGGGGAAGGTGGGTGTGTAGCAGCTGGATCCTGGCTGCAGGTGGTCAGCAGGGGTACCCCAGTTAAACCCTCCTGTAGTGGTAGCATCCCATGCATTCCTAGTTTTCACACCTAAGCATGGGCCTCTGCCCCTGAACTTTGTTTAACAAATGAACAATACTGGAGCACTGTGTCAATTTTGGCTGTTATCTCCTAAGTTTTGGTCACAAACCCACTATTATGTCTTGGTGGAAAGTAATTTCAATTTCCACTGTTAGAGCAAGAAAGAGCACCCTCAGTTAGGGTCAGTCACCATGGAACTCAGATGGAAGATTCCCGTCCATCCCCAGGCCTCTTCAATTTGGGACAATTCCACAATTAATATTTTATTAATGAATACTCATAGACCATAGACTTTAAGGTCAGAAGAGATGATCATGATTACCTACTCTGAACTCCTGCACATCGCAGGCCACAGAGTCTCATCCATCTACTCCTATAATAGACCCCTATCTTCTGGGTAAGTTACTGAAGTCCTCTAACCATGCTGAGCTTCACGTTACACAGAATTCACCTTTTACACTAATTTAAACTGGCAAGTGAATGCTCTCCCCACAGGGTCTTCACCAATCTAACCCCGGGGAAAATTCCTTTCCAACCCCAACTATAGTGATCAGTTAGACCCTGAACATGTGGGCACAACCCACCAGCCAGACACCTGGGATAGAATTATCTGTAGTAACTCAGAGCCCTCCCCATGTAGATGTCTCATCTCCAGCCACTGGACATATCTGCTAGCCCTTTCCCCATAAAATAAATCCTCAGGTCAGATCTGTTCACAAGTATACATTAGTAGTAGACAAAAACTGGCTATATTGAGGGGGAAGAGACAAAATACTGTTTTCCAGGCCCACCAATAAATACTAAGTCTGGCATTGGCTAGGCCTTCTTTCAGTACACCAAGGCCACTTCACCCTCCAGCCAAGCAGGATTTGCCTTGGCACTCAGCTATATCGTGCACTAAAGTCCTGCCTCTCATGAGAGCAAGGGGATTGGAATATATGTATCATACCTGGGCTACTTGTATAAGAGTACAGGATATTATAGCTAGATCACCAGGTGAAATACTGTGCTACTGGATTTTAAAGGCTTTCATAACCTATTTGAAAATATCTCAAAGAGTTCTGGAAACTTTCTTCATTGCCTGATCCTCCACCCATTTCCATAATAAACAACTGAAAAAACCCATTAACAATTTTCCTGCTTCATGTAAAAGGTAAAATCAATAAAATTTGACCTGATAGTATTTTTCTCAATAGAACAATTTAGTGTGAAAAGTACTGTAATTGGTAACATCTGGCTACTTCACAGCATCAATGTGAAAAGGACCTGGAGCTCCATGACACCAGTGCACAAGCTCATTCTCCCGCTCAATTGTCTCTCCCAGTTCAGGAGGCCAGTTGCAGTTCTGTTCCTGGTCCATAAGAAAGTCAATGCTCTGCCACACAAGCTCCTGATCTGCAGGCTGGAGGTACTCGTAATAGGACAGCAGCATCTGAAGGATGGATGAAAGGCCATGTGCTGCACCTATAAAGAATACAAATGGTTAAAATAAAAATTCTCTTTGCTCACAGATCCATCACGCTACATCTTTCTTCTGGAAATAATTTCTGTGTGGTTCAGATGGGTGTCTTGTTTTGATAGTTATAATGTTGTGTTGAGTAAAGGTCTTACTCAAAGATTCGTTACCACTTACATCTTTTAGATGCATACATTCAAAGAAAAATCTGTACTAATTCACCCAGTCTCACTACAGAGCGACAACATTTAAGAATAATGAAAATTAAAGTGCAGATAAAAGATTTCTTGCCTGCATTTCAAAAATACATAACAGCTGCAAACTCCTTAAGAGAAGCAAAGGCCCCAACTAAGTGAGGAATTTCACAAAGTTAAAGGATTTTCCCCTCTATCACAAGTTTTTCAGAAGGGAAATATCTGAGCCTGATTGGAATATGCAGTGTACACCTAGAAGCATTAATCACTGTGTTAATTTTAGGTGGCCACCTATAGGTAAGCGGATAGATATTATATGATCATTTGTTAATTAGGAACAACAATGATATACTGCTTGCCTGTCAATGTCTTATTTCTAAGTGGCTTGTTACCTTAGTGTCAGAGCAATGCCTTGGTTTCTAAGTGTCTGGTGTGTTCTACTCACCAAGGTATTCTGTTCCATAGTAAGAGTACATGAGTGGGCATGGTTTCCTCTTCTTCACTGCATACTGCTTCCCAGATTCTAATATAGCCTGGCAAATTGATCTGATTTGCACTGGGGTCAACACCTAAGCAGAAAACACCGAAAGAGACAGACTGTTACAATTTTTCCTTTTAAAATGATAAAGTTCCTTCTTTCTCATCCTTGCACACGTATTAAAACATTGCCTCTGTAGGCATACTATTATGTATTTTATAATACATTAACAGTAACAATCATTTATATAAAAAATGAGTGGCCCTGTGTCACCTTAAAGACTAACGAAGTATATACAGTATGTGTGCGGAGAGAGAGAGAGAGAATATGAATCATGAGCTTTCGAGGGCACTTTAGAAGCAGGAAAAGGGAAAAAGGGGATTTGTGCATAGCCATCTCAGGTTTGTTACAAGCTAACCCTAGCCCTAACCCTAATAACGCGAGAGTTGTAAGAGATGCTGCCTCCGTCTCTCTTTAGGAGATAAGAATAGAATGCTGAGGTAGGCAGGAACTTCGAGATAAGGAAGCATCTGGAAGGAGTTTGTATAAACAAACAGATAACCGTTAGCTGTTGATGTATGTAACGGGAAGGTATATATACTTGTCTTTTACTGTTTGTACTTTGAAGATCTGCCTAAGGAAGGGGGACCCCTCTGTCCGACCACAGTCTTTCCTTGCAATTGCGCGAATAAACTGCTTCTAACTCATTGCTTGAAAATTCAGAGTGAGGACTTGTTTTCTTCCACAGTTTGGTGCCGTGACTTGGATGGCAACGCCTGGCTGATAAGCGGAGGCTGCTATGGACCGTTCCCCTTCAAAACCTAAGGCGCCAAACGGGAGGTAAGAGACCTTTTGAAATCTCTACTGGGATGTCGAAGGAGGACTTCCCATGGGGCTGTCCATTTCTTTTGGGCTCACGCCATGCAAACTTACTGAATCTGCAACAAGGTCAGGTGCAAAATGGTGCTGAGGAATTTTTGCCACCTCATATAAGGGAAAGGTTATATTAAGTCCGGACATAAGGTATTAAGGTTATGGTTAAAGGAGATGCATCTGAATATTGGGAATGAATGAGTATGAAGTATGAGTGAGTGAGTGAAGAGTGAATGCCGCTGACTAGGTCTGAGACTTAAGCTGACTCCAGCTGCACCAGGGCTACTCTATGAGAGAGTCCTGAACACAAGGGGTGTCAGCCGAGCCTCATGAAAGTGAGAGAGTGACTCTCCTTATTTAATGAGCTGCTGATAAGGTTGCATCTCGAGACCCAGCAGACCCATTCTCTGGAGCATGTAAGGATAGTCTAATATGAGCCGCTGAGCAGATGGGAATGAGCTGCTGAGCGGACAGAATACTCCCCTGTGAGATTCTAAGGGTAAATTGGTTGCTGGTTTTGCTGTGTGTTCTTCATATTCTGTTATCGAAAGTGCTTTTCTCTCTTCTGTATTGTCAGCCCAGGTTGCTGAGCTCATTGCTTTAACCCGAGCCTGTATTTTAGCTCAAAATCAAGCTGTTACTATTTATACGGATTCTTGATATACTTTTGGAGTGATACATGATTATGGTTTACTTTGGAAACACAGAGGCGCTCTCACATTCTCTGGTTCCCCTATTAAGAATAGTCTGTATGTATCTGCTCTTTTAGATTCCCTTTTATTACCCAAAGCTATTGCTTTGTAAAATGTATTGCTCACCAAATCCCCTGACGATGAAGTTACACGTGGAAATGCTTTGGCTGATTCAGCAGCCAAGAATGCAGCCCCTCATTTCTGCCCCTCAGGCTGCATATACTTATGCCTTGATTGAGCATCCTCCGCTAGCATCCCTTGACGATCTCGCCAGCATCCAAGAGGTGGCGCCTGATGCTGAAAAATATTCTCGGAGTGTTACTGGGTGCACTTTACACCCTGATCACCTTTGGCGCTCTCTGGATGGCCACCTGGTTGTGCCTAAGGTGCTCTTGCCCTATTTTGCTCATGTGCACCATGGTGGGGATGATTGCTGTAGTTAAACGAGACTGGTATTCACCAGATTTTTCTTCTGTAGCCCAGCACTACTGCCAACAATGTACAATCTGCCAGCAACATAATGTTGGTAAAGCCGTTAAAGTTGGGCAGGCAGCACCTCCCCCCACCTTGGGGACCCTTTGTAAATATTCAGATTGATTTTATTCAAATGCCTAAATGTTGTAATTATGAGTATATGTTAGTATTAGTTGATGTTTTTTCAAGTTAGGTTGAAGCCTTCCCCTGCAGAAGGGCAGATGCCAAGTCTGTTGTGAAAATCTTGCTCAAAGATTTTATACCAAGGTTTGGTATACCTATTGGTATCAACAGTGATCGTGGTACTCATTTTACTGGATAGATTGTAAAAGAGCTACGTGCAGTCTTGCAGATCCAACATAACTCCCCTGCCCCCACCACCCGCAGTCTGACAGGACAGTGGAACATCAGAATGGAATTCTGAAAAACAAACTGGCCAAGATCTGTGCAGAAACAAACTTAAAATGGCCAGATGCCCTTCCATTGGCATTGATGAGCATGAGGACCAACCCCAATCGGAAGACTGGACTCAGCCCTCATGGGATCCTGACAGGGCGCCGGATCCGACTACCAGCAGCACCCCCACTGGCCCTTGCCCAGATAGACATTCATTTAATGGATGATACAATGCTTAATTACTGTCAAGCATTAATGAAATGCGTTAGGTCTCTTTATTCACAGGTAAAGAAAGCATTACCCAAGGACCCTGAGCAGCCTTGTCATCTGTTGGAACCAGGAGACTGGGTCTACATAAAGGTCCATCAGCGAAAGACTGCTCTAGCCCCACTCTGGAAAGGCCCTTACCAAGTTCTGCTAACCACTACTGCTGTGAAGTGCCAAGGATTGACTGCCTGGACCCATGCTTCTCACTGCAAAAAGGCCCCTCCATCTCAAGATGATTCTATCCCGACTGCTGACAAGTCTCTCTCTCCTTCTGGTCCTGCTTTCCCTCCTTCTGGGCAGCAGGAGACAAAGACAAGGTGAAGTGCTAGTAACCTCTCCCTTGTCCACTGACAGAATTACCATATAGTCAGTATCTGCTAGAAAAACTAAAATATTACAGGGTGACATGCTAGTAACCTCTCCTCTGCATGATGCTGAACCACAACTGCTTCAGGAAAGAAGGAATGTCCACTCCACTGACACCACCACAGTCCAGAAATTTCTAACTACAAAAGACATTGAGAACTGGCCCTGGTGGAAGAGGCGGAGTACTGTACATTGGCAGGGAGGGACTTGCGGGGACCGTTCTTGGGAATGTGGTGTTGAGTGGTAGTTTGGGTTTCTTCCAGGGGCTGAGCTCTGCTCTTACAGACAAGTACCGTCCGAATATACTGCCCTCCCCAATTGGCTTTCAGATGAGGAATACCAGAAGCGCCTTGATGCCACTGTCCCCACCATCTCCTCCACCTCCACTACCGCCCCTGTTACGTACCCAAATACAGACGATACCATATATTCTGATAAAATTCAATGGCCAAGGCCCTCACACCTTAGTGATTTAGCTAAGTATTGTTCGGAAAATGTATTCTTTAGGGTTCAGAATATCTCATATGAGCGAACAATTGAGTGGAAAATAGATGGATCAGTAGAGATAGAAATATATATCACTACAAATGAGCATGAGCCGCAAGAATCCAAAATTGAGGTTAAGAGGTTTCATAGTGGGGTTGACATGATGGCCATTCCTGGGGTTTGCAGTATATCGGAAGGAAGGGACCCCTACTGTTATTTGGTTACCCAATTAGTCAATCAAATTCATACTCAGAGAATGTGTTCTACTAATGGCAATTTTACCAGTACTGCAAATCTGAGGTACTTGCAATGTGCTGGTGAATGGATATGTGGAAATACGGGTCCTGGAGGTCGAGAGTTGATAACCAATCCTCTTTAAGGTGGGAATTATAATGGATAGAGTGACCATCTTGAATCCTTGTGGTTATGTGTGTCTGTTGAGCTTCCTGAAATCGAGAATCGGTCTCCCACCATCTGACTTTTTCGATGTGAGAAAGTAGTGGGAGTAAAATCCTTTTCTTTTTTAACAACGTGGAACAGGTTCCACTGCTCTGAGGTGAGGTAGATGGTCGATCCCCTGGAGGAGAATGTTCTGGTGAGATGAGTCCTCAAAGCAGGATGGGGATAGAAAAAAAAGGATGGGGATAGAGATGGGGGTAGAAAAAAATGTGAATGCAGTTTCCATTCTTTATAACATCCAGTACCCATCTGTCAATTGTGATGGACGATAATTGATGGTAAAAGGGTGCTAGATGTTGACGGAATAGATGGACAGGATGGGGTCACTATAAGCAGAGAGGTGTTACTAAACCCTTGATCTGACCTTCAAAACGTTTGTTTTGAGGTAGATGGCTGGATGGTCAGTGTTTTGCCTCCTTCTGTTCTGGCGCTGCCTCCTGTTACCAAATTGCCTTTGCTCTTGGCTATAAGGCATGGGTCTTTACCTCTGAGTAAAGGTTCTTCCCTGTTTGCATTTCACTGCAGAGACATGAATACCTAGCATCTTCAAGGTAGTACAGGAGTCCTTGAGTGAGTGAAGAGAGGTGTCAGTGGTGTTGGTGAAGAGCTTAGATCTTCAAAAGGGAAGATATTCTATTGTAGCCTGCTCCTCCCTCAGGAAAAACTGAACAAGTGTAGCCATGATGACCTCCTCATCACCACTTCTGTAGCGATGGAGCAAGACACCATGTCAGAGGCATCCAGAGCAGCTTGAAGGGCCGTACATGAAATCAAGGTGCCTTCATGGATATTGGCCCTGAACTGGTCTCTTCTGTTCTCTGGGAGAGAGTCAATAAAATGTGCCATCTGCTCAAAAATTGCAACAAAAATGTGGTGTATGTATTTGGCGAGCATAGCTGCATAGTTGGAGAGATGCTGAAGAATATGCCTTCCTCCGCCTGAGATCAAGGCATTTCCCTACTTGTCATAGGGAAAGGTCCTCGTCGCCAGTGTTCTAAGATATTCAGACCATGAGTGGAGTAAGTTTTGGCTTGTGTACCAAGGTTGAGGTCGTGTACTGGTTTGGATGTGTGCCACC